AGCAGGCACACACATAAATAAAATTAAAAACTAAAAATGAAGTCTTTAAGGTTGGGGAGATGACTTAGCAATTAAAGCAATCAGCAAATGTGAGGATTGGAGTGTCAATCCCCAGAACCCAGGTAAATGCCAGGTGGGCATGGTCACCCACCTAAAATTCCAGTGCCCCAAGACACAGTTGGGATCCCTGAGGCAAGCTGGCTAGAAAGACTTGCTGAATCAGCAAGCTCTGCATGCAAATGAGAGGCTGCCTCAATGAATAAGATGGAGAGAGACTCCTGACGGACCCATACACTTGTTAGCCTCCATACACATAAACATGTATACACACATGCATGCATATTACACACAAAATAAAAACTTTTAGTGTATTCAGCCCCACCCCCTAAATTTCAGAAAGTGATATTAACTATGGACTGTTGAAGAAGAAATTCTATCTACTTGAACACAACTCTCTTTGATTCTGAAAGTGTCAGTATTTTTAGTCCAGCCTTGCAGTATTATATTCTGTATTGTTTTTTAAATTTTTATTATTTTTATTTTGTGTGTATGCGTGTATTGCCTGCATGTAGGGAAGTGCACCCATGTCATGCAATGCCTGCCGAGGTCAGAAGAGGCTGTTGGATACCCTGGGACTGGAGTTACAGACAGTAGTTAGCTGCCATGTGGGTGCTGGGGTCCGAACCTGGGTCTTCTGTAAGGACAATCAGTATTCTTAACCATCTCTCCAGCCCCTATATCCTGTATTGTTAATGTGACATGTCCTTCATTTTAAGGACCAACAGGTTTAAGTTTTATCAGATGTTAATTCAAGGAAGATTTCTAGTGATGTGATAAAGACACACTCAGCAGGCATACTTGGAGAATTTATCTTCTGCCAATATTCCTCCTGATTCACTGTGATAGGATGCACGTAAATTATATCAAATCCAAAGTAGGGCCACCTAAACCAAATCAGGGATCAGGTGAGAATTGTGGGCCAGTCTTTTGAAGGATGTCTGTGGCAGGCCAGAATTTTAGAAATGGAAATATATTAAAGATCATGTAATAATCCAAAGCTTTGTTTTACTGTATTGTATTCATTGTTTTTCTGAGTCAGCGTCAGGCTATATAGTTCCAGACTGGCCACACACTTGATATTCCCCTGCCTTTGCAGCCTTCTTCTCAAAGTACACAGCCATGTGTGGTTATGAGGCCCATGTTAAATTTTTTTCCCTTTTTTCTTTATTTTTATTTTATGTGTATGAGTGGTTTTTCTTTTTTTTTTTTTTCATGCATGAATATATACTACCACATGTTAACTTTTTCCCTTTTTTTTCTTTATTTTTATTTTATTTTATTTTATTTTAAATTTTCTGTATCTTTTTCTTTTATTCTTTTTTTTTTTTTTCCAGAGCTGAGGACAGAACCCAGGGCCTTGAGCTTGCTAGGCAAGCACTCTACCACTGAGCTAAATCCCCAATCCCTTTTTTCTTTATTTTTATTTTATGTGTATGAGTGTTTGTTTGCATGCATGTATATATACCACCAGTGTGCAAGTGCCCATGGAGGACAGGAGAGGGTGTTGGATCCCAGGAACTGGAGTCACAGACTTGTGTGCCACTATGTGGGTGCTGAGAACTGAATCTGGGTCCTCTGCAAGAGCTCTAACTGCTGAGCCATCTCTCTGGCCCCAAGGTCTACATTTTAAAGGGGGTGAAACTGAGGCTTTGATTTGTTACCGCATGTCTTAGTTTGTTTCTCCATTGCTGTGACAAAACACTCTGGCCAGTACCAACTTGGTGGGGAAAGGGTTTATTCAGCTTACATCTCCCAGGTCACAGTTCATCAGGAAGCCCAAGGCAGGAATTCAGGGCAGGAACCTGGAAGCAGGAGCTGGAGCACAAGCCATGGAGGAACTCTGCTTACTGGCTTGCTCCTCTAGCCCCTGTTCAGCCTGCTTTCTTATGCAACACAGGCCCACCTGCCCAGGGGTGGCACCACCCACAGTGGGCTGGGCCCTCCCACATCACTCATCAAGAAGATGTCCTCAGACATGGCCACAGGCCAGTCCAATAGAGGCAATCCCCCAATTGAGGCTCCCTCAACCCAGGTATGTCAAGTTGACACTAAAACTATCCAGCACACTGCACTTATTTTTTTCAAACATTTCCTAACCTAGTGATGTAAATATTACTTTTGGAAGACCTTTACTTAATTATGTACTGTAAGGTTGTAATATATCAATATCTGGAACAGAGGGCTTCTATATCATAAATCTATTATTTAATCCCAGCACCCAGGAAGGAGGCAGAAGAGGCAGGTGGATAGCTGAGAGGAGAGGGAGAAGAGGAGAAGAATTTATATATAAATTCTTTTTCCTTCTTTTTGCTATCCTTTAAGATTATGGGTTTTCAGTTTATTTTCTGTTTCTGAGATAGCAGAAGATTCTGTTTTCTTGTATTTAATTTTTCAAAACAATTTTATCAGCATACCAAATAGGGTAAATTTCATGTTTGCACACTTCAAGCATCTTCTGCCTTTTAGAATGGCAAGTTCAAGTTGGGTTAATAGCTGCACATTGTTTCATTCAGATTCTCTGAAACTTGCAGATCTGAGGGTGCTGTGAGTAAAGAAGACAGCTGTCTCTGTGGAAACAAAAACAGTACCATATTTTCCCACCCAAACTGATAATGCTGTATGTGTCATATTGCAGGTATTCCCAGAATTTTCCCCCAAGACATGTTCTCAGGCTTGCCTCAAACTTGTGATCCTCCTGCCTTTGCCTTCAGTGTGTGAAGATTTCAGGCAAGTAACATTTCTTTTTCAACATTCAAATTGTAACTTCTTGAAGCATTTATTTGAATGTCTCTCTCTCTCTCTCTCTCTCTCTCTCTCTCCTCTCTCTCTCCCTCTCCCCTCCCCCTTTCTCTCTGTCTCCCTTCTCCCTCTCAACTATCCACTTTCCTCTTCTGCCTCCTGCCTGAGTGTTGGGATTAAAGGCATGCCTCACCATGCCTGGCCTACATTCCATCTCTCTCTCTCTCTCTCTCTCTCTCTCTCTCTCTGTCGTTTTGAGACAGGGTCTCCCTGTACCCCCAGCAGGCCTGGAACTCACCATAAAGACCGGGTTGGCCTTGATCTCACAGAGATCTACCTGTCCCTGCCTCACCATTGCTGGGATTAAAGGTGTGCACCACTATGCCTGGCATCCTCATTTCTCTAAAAGAAATGAATAACAGTACAAGCAACTTTAACTGAGATAGAAATTATATTCATGGTAAACCTTTAAAATATCATTCAGGGTGCTGGAGTGATGGCTCAGTCCTCAGGAGCATGTACTTGAAGAGTACAAGAAGCATGTTCTTGAAGAGAGCCCGAGTTCAGTTCCCAGCACCCATGCCAGGCAGCTCACAACCACATTTAGCTCCAGCTCTGGGGAATTCAACACCCTCTTCTGGGCTCCACAACATCTGCACTCATATACACATAATTGAAAATAAATCTTTTTAGAAGAACGTTCAAAAGAGAGAAGGAGGCATCGTTATTCCCTTCGGCACTCTACTGGATTCAGAAGGGAATGCCAATCCAGGAAATATTGGTCCACACTTCATATGACATGTTTAATAACTATTTCTGCTTTATTGTTAACAGCCCAATCAAACAGTCCTTTAAAAATAATATGATAGAGCCATCATATGGGGGGGGGAAGAGCTTATTTTAAGTAAAGAACTTTGAGCCCATGTTACTAGGAAGGAGACAAAAATTGTCCAAGGAATTAGCCATGCCAGTCAATAAACAAGAAATGAACTGGCAAAGGCTAAAGTACATGAAAACATGACTTCTGAACCAAATTTCTAAAGAACTCCAGATGATCTGCTGTATATTGGTGCTCTATATTCGTTGATTATATCTGCTAATGTTTACAGGTAGCATCAGAGCAATCGGTAAGGTGGACTAAGATCACCAGGACCTTCTTGGCTGAACCCTATCACCTGCTCATGTGCTCCTTTCATGGTACCTCTCCCCGACTCATCCTTGGTAATGGACTGACTCCATGTCAACTTAGAATGTGCTATCTATATTTCTTTGGTGGGGGTTTAAGATCCCTCTCTCGGTGTCCCTCTCTCTCATGTGTGTGTGTCCCTGTGTCACATTTGGATATGCAGGTCAGAAGACTTGTGGGAACTGGTTCTCTCCACAACGTGGGTTGCAGAAATGGATCTCAGGCTTGGTGGCAAGCATTTCTAAATCCGTTGAGCTATCTCGCCAGCCACCAACCATTCTTGAACATAAATCCTTGTCCTCGGCCTGGTAAATATTAGAGAATGAAATCTCGTCTATGGGCAGGGATGAATCATTTCTAGCTTCTCCAAAGTTTTGTGCATCAGTTCTTACAATGGGCACCATAAATGGTTAATTGATGTAGCTACGGATGATCAGCCTCCTGCCCCACTGAAATTCATGGTGAACTGACCTCAGCTTTTCTCCCTGGCTCTCAAGTTTCCCCAGCCGCTGCTGACAGCCTAGCCTAGCCTGAATGTTCAGTGATAGATCTGACCACCTCCGACTCCTGGGTTTTAAGATATGCTTATGAGACAGACATTGAAAAACTATTTCGTCCCTTTCCCCAAATCCCAGTCCCAAATCACGGCAAGTCGAAATTTCTCCTAAAGCACAGAGAGGCTAGGCTGTAGCTCGCCGCAGAGCGCCTGCTTGATCCAAGGCACACACCGTGATTCCGGGCCTTCTCCGCGCTTTGCTGGGCACTCTGGTGGGAGTCCCTATTACCCGGGCGTACGGAAGGTTAAGTATCAACAGGTGCCGCGGAGCCGGGAGCCAGGTTCGAGTTCCTAGCAAAGGTGACCCGAAGGCAATCCCGGGGCGGGCCGGGTTCTTGCCGAATTCTCGCGAGAGCTGTTGGCAGCGCGGGGTCGCTGAGGAGGACGCGGCGGGCGGCGCTTCCCCGCCTGCTAGGCTTCCCCTCCCGGAGCAGCCCAGCCCGGCGCTTCCCATTTCCGCCCCCCCCCACGCGGGCCTTTGGGACAGCCCTGCGAAGAGTCGCGGCGCGGCGGGTTTCGCGTCCTTCTTCCTCCCTCGCCTCCCGCGGATCGCCGCCGGCCGCCCCGAGGCCTCGCCTCGGAGCCCGTAGCCCGCGCCCGGCCGACATGAGCTTCTTGTTTGGTAGTCGCTCTTCTAAAACTTAGGCCTCGCCTCGGAGCCCGCAGCCCGCGCCCGGCCGACATGAGCTTCTTGTTGTAAGTAACGCGGGCCGCCCCGGCTTTGTTCGCCGCCACCGGGGCGGCGGGGCCTGCTTGCTGGGCGCTGCCCGCTTGGCCGCTTTCCATCCCGGAGGCTCTTCACCCGGTGGACCCCAGGATCTGTGTGGGGACCCCATTTCTCCAGTACCGCTCCCTTCGCCCTCGTCCTGCTGTGCGTTTGCACTCTTGCCTCCCACTGTTCCGCATGACCAGTGTGCGGAGCTCCGTGCCTGGGCAGAAGAGTTCCAGGCATAGAAGATGGGTCATCCTTTTTCCGGTCACCCGGGACCCTTCATCTCTTAGGTCTTAGGGTTGGAGAATTGAGAGACAAGTCCGGTAGAACATCGAAACAAGGCAGCTTGCGGGTTCGAATCCCTGCACCCGGGGACTACTCGCAACGCCAATTCCCGCAGTGCTCTCTTTATGTGCTGGGGTTCTATTTTTCAGTCAACCACCAGATAGGATCTGGCGTGTGCCCTAGATTAATTTAGGTCCACCGGGCTGTTCTGCTGATCATTCGTTAATGCCAGCGTTAGCGTTACGTTTAGTGCTGGCCATTGTTTTACTTAGCGTTTATTTCAGGTGTTTGAGGTGAAACGGGTGGGGGTTTAGGCAGGCAGAAAAATGGGACTGCCAGACTAGGGATTTCGGATGCAGAAGACAAATCTCGGGTCCTCCAGGAGCCTGGGTTACACCTGAAGAGTAACTCTGTTGAAGGCCACGTTGTGATTCACCCATGTGTTTAGAAAGCTAATTAAAAACAAAACAAAACTCAGGTTGTAATCCACCGGATACACTGCTTTACTGTCGTGGAACAAACAGCATTTAAGAATTCCTTTCTGTTTGGATTTCTCTTCGTTCCCCACCTTCCATATTTTTAGTCATTACCTTGGTATTAGAGTCCTGTGTCTTTATTTCATTCTTATTTTCACATCTCATCTGTAGAGTGCTATTCTTTATAGAGTGTTTTAAGCAAAGCTATTATGAAGGATCACTGCTGGGCAGATTTCCTCCTGTGTACAGGGCCTGGCTTGTGTCAACCTGCCTGACACGTTTGAGCTTGTGAAACCTTTCTTAGATTCATTCTAGAAGTCGATTCTGAGTTTGTGAGATTGAAATAGAGATCAGAGTAACTGGGTAACTTATACTGTAAGACTTTTGTCATATTTTCATTTTAATCAACATATCCAAGCATCTCAGCTTGAAGCTTCTCATGTTGAGTCTGATTTTGCATTGCTTATGCTCTATTCTCAAGAATTAAAAAGCTGTCTTTAAAATAGCAGTGGTTCTGGTTGCTGCTGACTGGCTTGTGTCTTTTGGAACTCATAAGCTAAATTAGTTGAAGTGGAGAAAAGCTGTATTTGGCTGAAACTTGGTGATGAAAAAGGTTCTAATGCTGTTTTCTGAATACAAATACAACGCTGCCCTATTTTTTCATGGTTCAGTATTATATTCAGAAATGTGGTGAGTTAGTTAATTTATCCTGAAAATTATTAGCTAAATAGGACAATATTGTAACTAATGTGTATGTTACTTAGAGGGTGTGCACTATTTGGGGAACAATTTTTCAGTAGGTCATATGTAACAGTTAATACATTCTCAGTGTATTTTGCCTACATGTTTAACAATGCAAAAATTTAATCTGGCAATTTTTGTTTGTTTCCTGAATATTATTTATGTACCAACAAGGGAAGCAGAAAAAGAGTTAAAGTTAAGGAGCTAAGTAAAGATATCCTCTAGTTCTTGGAACCTTTTTGGGAAGGCTACTTGTAAGTGGGTAGAGCAGAGGAAATAGGGCAGTGAGAGATATGGTTAGGAACATGATGAGTCATGTGTCTTATGGGCTGTAAGATAGAAGGAAAGAGCCATTGATTAAAAAAACGTTTTCACTGCACTAGTGCAGACATGATTTTTGATAAGATGGACAAGTTTCCCACTTTAGGAGTTTATGTTCTAGTAGGCGACCACAACTGTTAAATGGCAGTAAAATGGCACTGAGAGGAAGAAGAGCAAAAGCATTTTGGATAGGGACTTGAAGTGGTTTAGGATGATCCTCATGTATGTCCATATCCTCTTCAAGAGTGATACCTTTTTGTAACTTTTGTACAAATGCTCAGGATAAATTTTCTCCCCATATATGAAAAACCGGGGCAAAGCTTTGTTTGTGCTGCACGTTGGCCTCCGTGTGTCTTCAGATTAAGCTAAACTCACAGATGGTGGATATGGAAACTTCACAGAAACCTCATTTAACTTGGTAGGCTCAAATCTTTAAGTACTTTTTTTTCAGTTGTATGCCAGGCATTGAGGAAAGTTTAGGTACTCCAGAGACAGTAGATGGTATATCAAAATCACAATACAGTTATGAATGCCCAAACTGTAGGGTGCAAGTGTAGAATTTTGGTTAGATGGGCTCTTTTCATAACAGCTTATTCCCTTTTCACTAAAATCACAATCACCAGTTTAGATTGCTGGCCCAGCATTAGAATGGGAGTTTTTTGACTGAGGAGTTTTCCTCTCTTGATATTTTATGTATACAAAGTACGGACAAATTGAGGATGAAGTGATTCTTAATAATTACCAGAAAGTGTATTTAAGTGTTCTTTTTAGTATTTTAAAATTTTTATGAGAAATAAGCAACTAAGGTATACTTTCCTAATGTAAGGCTATTTGAGTGAAGTTAAAACAGATGCAGTCAACTGTGTAGGAAGGGGGTTTTAGGGATATGAACAAATATAAATCAGGTCTCTTTCTATATAGGAAGAAACAAAGACGATTTGGGAATGGAAGGGAAAAAGGAAGGAAGGAAATATTTATTGAGTAGTATGCCAGGTACCTTTCATTGCCTTTTATAACAATAGCAATTTAGGAAAAGAGACCCAGCATTTTATCTGAATTTATGTGTTTTTCTTCCTCTAAATTGTGATCCCCCCTTCAAATGATTTAGCGGATTTTAGTGCTTTAATACTCTTCCTTGTAACAGAAGTTAGAAATTAATAGTAAAGTGATAACTTGGTGAATGCTTACTATGAGCCAGGCACTTAAGTACTTCGTTCAATAACTAGCAGGAATCCCATTTACAGATGGGGAAACTGGCACAAAAAAGTCATGTAGCCAGTAAATGGTGTAGCTAATGTGAATCCTCAAAGTCTAGATCCAGACTTATGATCTTATGTGCCACCTTTTCTGTAAGTGACAATTACATGTTTATATTTTATGTATTCCCCCCTTGGTGCTGGACAGAATGATAGGACCTTGGATTGGCTAGGAAGGCAGTCTGTCACTGAACTAAGTCCTTAGCCTGTACATATATGCATTTTACAAAGGTAGTTTTCAAGTAAGACTTGTTTTTCAGAACAGTCTTATTACTGGGTATTGTTCTCAAACTGCTAGAATCCTTTTCTAAGATTTGCTAACACTACAGTAGAAGACAGGAGAAACTTTTTAAACTTAAGTAATATTTTATTTTATTTATTTTATTTTTTGGTCTTTTTGAGACAGGGTCTCCCTGTAGTCCCAGCTGACCTGGAACTCACTATGTAGACCAGGTTGGCCTTGAACTCACAGAGATCCGCCTGCCTCTGCCTCCCAAGTGCTGGGATTAAAGGCGTGAGTCACCACGCCGGGCTAAACTTAAATAATATTTTAACTTACATTTGTATTAATGTTAAAATACTGCTTACAAAAAAATTTGTTTGCTAGAGTAACTACAAAATACTAGTAAGAAAAGAAAGGAATTCATGGTGGGTGTGTTGATACCTGCCTGTAATCTCAGAGAGGCAGGATGTTCGCCAGTTTGAGGCTAGCCTGGGGTACATAGACCCTGTGGTTAAAAACCCCCACCCCCCAAAATGTCATTTATAATCATACCTTCTATGATAACTATAGTTTGTAGTTTCAGATGTAACTTTTGCAAATCTTTTCTGTTAAATTATATAGGTGGATAATTTATCACAAATACATAAATAGATCACTATCATACATAGACCAGGTTTTTAAGTTGTCTGTTTCTTATGACTGCATAGATTTTTAGGCCAACAAGATGGCTCAGCCAAAGTGCTTTCAAAAGTTTGGCCAGAGTTTGATAAGGACCTCTTACTAGATTCCATCTACCAAGGATTCCACTCTAGCCCAATAGCACCATCCTGGGGAAAGTTCTTTAGCATATGAAATTTTGCTGGGATACTGCCCATGTTCAAGCTGTAGCAGAACATAAGAACGTTTTAAATAATATGTTCAGTTAGTTATTAAGAATAGCTGAAAAATCTCTTCATTTGCAGAAGTGATTAAATTTCTGTTTTAAAAGTTTCTCACCTTCAGAAAAACTGCAGCAAATAGCACAAAGAATTTCCAGGTGTTCCTTATCTGGAGACCCCATTTGTTACTGCAGTGTTGTCATCCTCAGAGGAATGAACATACACTGTAATCAATTATATGTCTGCAGTATTCTTCCCATAAGACCCTCTAGTGCTGGGGTCAAAACGCAGAACCTCTCACATGTTGTGCAAGTGCTGGATCATAGAGCTGCATCTCTCGGCCTTACAATATCCTAACCAAAGTCTTTCCTCATTCTTCTTTCGTGACCTTTACATTTGAATATTAAGGGCCATTTGTAGAATGCCCCTCAGCTTCAGTCTCTGATGTTTCCTTGTGCAGTTAGGTTATGTGTTGGGGGCAGGAATATCACAGCAGTGGTGCATATTTTCTTCATGGCATCTGATCAGATACTCATAGTATGTTTGTCCATTACTGGCTGTTTTAATTTTGATGTTTTAAGTTGTCCACCAGGATTCTCCACTGTTAGGTTGTTTTACCTTTTTGTTCCACTTTGTAATTAACATTTTATGGGTAGGTATTTTGATTCTGTGTAACTGTTCATTACTCATTTCATTTTCTACTCACTAATTTTAGTGTCCTCGGTTTTTT